TTGATTCGGTGCATCCAGTCCATTTAGGAAAGAAAGAAAGGAGCGAGATTGATTTGAAAGTTGGGGGGGGGGGGTATGAAAACATATTTAAAAGAAAAAAAAGTTACTCAATTTTGTATGATACAGCAAAATAGATGTAAATGATCTGTATATTCAATTATTTATCATACGCAACATGATTAACCATCTTTTTTACATGATTAGTCATCTTTTGCCAGCACACATTCATTTTAGAAATAGTTAGTATGCGATCGTATTTTATGGATATACTTTTCGAAGGTGATGTTTAATTGTGATTGAGTCATTGCAGACTGAAAAATGATAACTCCGTTGTTGCAATTATAAAAGTTTTTTTAAAACTGTTTAGGAAGTGGGGTGCTCAATGCAGTGTTTGCCCCCCCTCCAGTGTTTTAGTTAGGGGAGTTATCGCCCCTTTGCCCCCCCCCCCTTGTTCCTACGTTAGTATATATATATATATATATATATATATATATATATATATATATATATATATATATATATATATATATATATTATATTATATTTATATTGTAATTTTTATATGGTTCTGGCTACAAGATCAATATGATCTTTTTCCAGATTCTAAGTTTATATGTTTATATTACATGGAAATCACAACATGTAAATAATGTACACTGAAAAAAAAAAAAAAGTTTTGTTCAGGAAAAACTCTCGAAACATAAAAATTAAAGGTTATTACGTCATATTAGCTTTTACGTCGCTAATTTAGAATAATTTTAAAAAATGTTTACGTCGCTTAAATAAAAAAATGGCGCTTTTTTCAAAGAAGCTATATTTTAACAATGTAAATTTAGATCTTTTTGATGACAACCTTATAAATATCTCAAGAAAACAGAAATGTTTTTCAAGAAACTCAAATGAACTTAATCAATTCACCGCATATTGATCCTTTTGATTTAAAGTATTAAAAGATAATTGTTCATTTTCTGTATTGCATATAAATACACAAGCAAAATTTGGATAAATTTTAAGAATTTTTTGATAATTTAAACTACATGTTCGATATCATATCTCTTTCAGAGACTTGGCATGGTTGGAGGGGTTGGCATGATACAGAAAGTTCTCTTGAATTAAATTCTTATTATATTATACCATTTTACAAACTACTTAGTCAACCACGAAAAGTGGAAAAAAAGGAGAGGGATTAGAAATTTACGTCTGTAATACGCTTTTCAGCTTTTTTTGAGCAGCCGCGGCGCAGTGGTAGCGCACTTGACTCAGAAACGTAAGATCCGTCGTTCAAACCCCACCTTTAGGCAAGTTTTGCGACATCGGTTGGGAAGGAGGCGTGAACTTCCTATTAATTGCTCTTCCGCGGTGCTCTGTGATAAGACCGTAAGGACTTCATGGGGCACCTTAATCAACTTAAAAAAAATAAATAAATAAAAATTATGAAAGTCTCTTCATTTAAATTATTTATAAAAAATACCGAAATATTTTAATTGGGTGTGTTTATCGTCCACCGAGTGGGAAAATAAAAAACTTCGAAATTTCACTCAATACGATTAAATAAATAAAGAAAGAAAATAAAACATTAGATATTACTGGTGATATAATTCTTGATGTTCTATCTAACACAAAATTTCTAAAAATAAAATCACAAAATTTCTAAAAATAATTTTTAAAGTGCTCAAAAAAAAAGCAAAAACTTCACAATAAATTTCTGATAAATAAAAACATTATAAAAGTTTTTTACCAGTAATCAAATTAATAAATGTAAATTTGAAGCAAAAAAACATGATCCATCATTAATGTATTAATGAGAAGAGAAAAACTAAATTCACCTTCTCTACTTAAACGAATTCTTATTTAAAATAACGATATATTTTGTCAAAAACTCATCTCGGATGAATTTTTTATAAGTATTGGGCCGTATCTTGTCAAAAAAATAATAGCAACAACTTTAACCGTGCGACCGAGGCAGGAGATCTAGGTTTAAAACAAGCTCTGGACATATTTTTGCATCACGGCAAGGAAGGAGGGATGAACTTCTTGAATAAATGCACTTCCGCGGTGCTCTGTGACAAGACCGTTATGTCTTCTTGAGGCACCTAAAAAAAAAAACTAAAAATACCAAACAAAAAACCCACGAATAACGTTTTCATGCATGATTACGAATTAGGCTATGATAAATTTGAGGCAGCTTCTGCCTCTTTTAAAAAAAAAGCACCAGGATTTGATGAAATGCTTAGTGATATAATTATTTCAAACAAACACAGTCTTAATAGACCTCTGATACATAATTTGTATATTCCATACATTTGTATATTCCATTCATATTCATGCGCAATTTGTATATTTCATTTTTGAAAAACATTTTACTCTTTGATTCAAAAAATTGAACTAGTGTTTGTTTGATATCTTCTTTGTTTTCGAATTTCTTGCCATTCAAGAAATTTTACAACGAAAAAAACAAGGTATAGTCAGAGTACACTTAGTCTGGGGAATATGTTGGATGGACATAAATTCCCAGCCTAATTCTGCAATTTTTTGACAAGTTCCCAAAGCAAATATGCGGTCTAGCATTATTATGATAAAGTATGACGTCGTTCCTACTTAACATTGCCAGCCTTTTATAATCATGTAGTTGTTTTATTTTTATTTTTTAATTCTAAATTCAATTTTTTTAAATTCAAATAATATTTTAAAGTTTAATGTCAAGCGCTATTTTAAAGTTTTAAACAATTAACAAATGAGAAATGTTATAACATTTTTTTATTATAAAAACAGATTAATAAAACAGAAAAATTAATCATTTCGATACCGTGCACTTCTCAATTATCTGAAAATGAAAAAAACACTGCTTGCAGTTTAGAAAAAACTTTAGAACCTTTAAACTCAGTTTAAATCAGAGTACAAGAGTTAAAAAAAACTGTTTTCGTGGATCTGATTTTATTTATCCTTTTTCAACTCATTTTAAAAAAGGCAAAGAAGTAAAACGATGCTTAAATCAATCTCACTTCACAAAATTTCCTATGTTTTTCTTATAAAGATGGTTTCGGGTAACACAATTTTGTTGATCACAAATAAAAAGTAATAAAAAGTCGGTCTTAATAAGCTTGGTGTGGGCAGGTAAAGTTTACCAAAATTTATTAACGTGTACAAGCATGCAAGAGAATGAATAAAACCGTATTAAGTAACGTCAATAATTTACTTCAAGCAACTTTGACCATTTTTGAACTCAATCGCAACGCTTTTGTAACAAGTTCCGTACAAGTCTTTACAAAACCACTAACCCCTTCCCCATAGAATGTGACGTAATTTAAAGACAAACCTTTATTATAGATGCAGTTTTTTTTATTGTAAATTAACTTAGTACTAAAATTTTTTTAAGTTTCTTATAAACAGAAAAACATTGATTAGAACTATTACGTGCTTTAGTCAAGCCATATAATATAAGAGGAGAGAGTTGACAAAATTGGAACAGCGCCTAAATTGGAACACTTGCATTTATTTTTGAAAAAAATGAATTAGGGCTATATTTTGTATTCTTTTAATAAAACGCATTATTTTCTATGTTTTGACACATTTTGAAGGTTATTCCTCAAAAAATGCGTTTGCACCATTGATCTAAAGTTTTTTGCGTCATTTTTTTTCGGCGATATAACTTTGTGTTCATACTGTATTAATTGCTCTGGGTAAACTATGATGCTACAGGTTATACTGTTTTTTGTGTTTAATTCGATAGGATTTAAAATGAAAAATAACAATGTTAACTTATCTTATAAGTTGCTGCAAGCATGTTATTGTAGTGATATAACAAAATAGTCAAAAGTTTCCTTGATTGGAACATTGAAGTTTTCTTTACCTAATCAGTAATAAAATCAAAGGGTTGTACAAGTATAAGTAAAAAAATACTTAGTAACAACCATAAACCTTAAAAATAATACTTTATTTAGTGATTTTTAATCAATAAATTTAGAGAACGTCATAACAGTTGAAGGTTTATACAATTTTTTGTTTGTAGACTTTAAATTTATCAATACTAATCCTATAATAAGTTTTGAATCAACTGTTTAAATTTTCACTGTAAAGATGAAAATAATTTTTTACATGTTTTTGTTGATTTAACTGGATTTTTTCTTTCAACAAAATAACCTGTTCTGATGAATCAAAGTGTTTCAATTTAGGGAACCAGTTGCCTTGATTGGAACAAAATGGTAACTTTACAAAAACAAACTTATTTCCAATAACAGTGCAATCAATTTAGTCAAATTGTAGTTAAAAGTATAGTAGGGATGTCTGTTGTATTAATCAAATCATTAATGTTGTCATGGGAAGCCATCTTTGGGTAACAAATATTTATTCCTTAAGTGTTCCAATTAAGGCAACTTTCCCCTACTATTGATATTTTTTTACTTATTTAAACTCCGATGTTGTATGAGGTTTTTACTTTTACGTTTTTTACTTATAGTAAATTTTATATAAAATTTTATTCACTTGTGATAATCTTGTTTTAAATTTTAGTTGTAATGAGATATTTACTCCCTGCGTATCGAATGGAATTTCATTCGATTACGAATGGAATTAATTATAAAAATTTTTTATTAAACTTCCAGTACTAGATTTAGAAAGTAAAACATTTAAAGTAAAAAATTCTCTAGTACTAGTCCATTTTCTTGGTTTCTTAAAAAGAAACACAACGCACAACTCTTGTTCAATACTATTTACAGAATATATATATGTGTGTGTGTATATATATATATATATATATATATATATATATATATATATATATATATATATATATATATATATATATATATATATATATATATATATATATATATAACGCCTATCTAACAATTTCGCTAAAGATTTGATTAATAATTTCTGGATCATGAAATTAGGCTTTATCTGGACATTAGTAAACATCTTTTAGATAAACTTTTAAATCGTACTGAGCAGTTTTTTATTTGTAATAAATTTAATTATAAAACTTGCGCGCCCCCTTAAATAGAGTTAACCCTCCGTTACCGGCATTACAACAATTGCTACCGTTTCACACACTCTTTTTAATTCGTACAAGAAAGAGTAGCGTTCTCTTTAAGGGCTAAGGCTTATAAATCGAGATTTATCCTTGTGTTTTAAGCAACCTACTCTATAACAATGGCCGTTTCACAATCATCTGAACTTGCTTGTGTTTATAGTGCATTAATTTTACACGACGATGATGTGCCAATTACTGTAAGTTAATAAAGTTAACTGCATTGATCGTTGGTTGCCTTTAATTAATAGCTATGATATTTCTCTTAAATATTTGAAATATATCGTAGTATTTTAATCAAATTTAACTTCACACACAGATATATATATATATATATATATATATATATATATATATATATGTGTGTGTGTGTCTGTGTATATATAAACATATGTGTATATATATATATATATATATGTGTGTGTGTGTCTGTGTATATATAAACATGTATGTGTATATATATATATATATATATATATATATATATATATATATATATATATATATATATATATATATGTAATATATATGTAATATATATGTGTATATTTATGTATATATATATAATATTTAAATAAAATTGTCCTAATAGAGTGAAAAGATCACTAAACTTGTTGCAGCAGCTAATGTTCAAGTTGAACCCTTTTGGCCAATTCTTTTTGCCAAGGCGCTAGAAGGACGAAATATTGGGGATCTGATATGCAATGTCGGTTCAGCCCCCGCTGCTGCTGCTGCCCCAGTTGCTGCTGCTCCAGGTAAGTTTAACACAATTTTTTTTTAATATTTAAAGTTAAACTTAATCAAATAGTTACTACTTAAATATTTTTGTCACAATCTTTTTATAGTAAAAGTTACTATTTTTTACTAATACACTTTTATGTTGTTTATAATTCGTAATAGATGTATTGTCTTAAGAAATGTTTTAAATGCACCTTATACAAATGCTATTAAAGTATTTTATTTTGTATACTAAAGTTTGTATATAATACTGTTACATGGTGGCCACAGTCCTGGAATGTCCTGGATTTTTGCAAGTGTCCTGAAATGTCCTGAAAAATTAGATTTTTTTAAAAAATGTCCTAAAATGTCCTGGAACTTTTTTTTTTTCTGAGTCAAGTTAAAAAATTACTAATAATATTGAAGTAATATTAAATTTCTTATGCAAAAAATTTTTTTTATTAATGGTTTGAATTTAATTTTAAAAGAAGAGAGTAATAATATATAATAATAAAATATTCTATTCTATAATTCAATCAATATGAAAAAAATATAACAAAGATAATTGATAATATTCATTTAATAAGATATAAAAATGTCCTGGAATTTAACTTTTAAAATTTTGTGGCCACCATGTGTTAGTATACACAGTTCTTTTACATTTTGAGCATATATCAATCAATTTCAAGAAACCAAAGAAATTTTGATCTAATGGGTTAAAAAGAAAACGAAAAAACTTAATGGGTTTTTAAAAAATAATATTTTAAAAGTAATATCTTGAAGGTAATAATTGTTGCCTACAAGCAATAGCTATGATATTTCTTCTGAATATTTGCAATATAACGTAGTATTTTAAACAGAATTAATTTAATATGTGTGGTGTGTGTAGTATTTTTAAGATATTTTTTGTTTTATTTTTAAACTTTTTGCAAATTAAAATTTAATGTATGTTTATGTTAAGCTCCAGCTGCTGCTGCTAAACCTGCTGCGAAAGAAGAAAAAAAGAAAGAAGAATCTGAACCATCAGATGATGATATGGGATTCGGTATTTTAATTTTATATTATTATTATTATTTTTTTGTTATTTATTTTCATCATAAATCAGATATTTGTCATGTATTGATATATATCTCTCATATTGGTGATAAAATATTTTAGCATTATCAAGCAGGTATCTGTCATTTCAATATAGACTGATATCGTTCATAATGATGGTACACATTTAGACTTGTCAGCCATCAGTAAATATAACACATGGCTGGGTAGGTAATGTAAGTGGCTGGATAGCCAGCTAGCTGGTTGTAAACCTAGTGGCGGCTGTCTAATAAAAAATTTAAAGCTGGCTAACTGGCTGAATATAGAAAAGTAACATGTATTATTTCGAACTTTACAATTATTAAATTATATCACAATTAATTTACTAATTAATTTACAATAAACCAATGTTATCATGTATAAAAATATTCATGTTTATATTAGTTGGGTCTAGTAAACTTCTTCGAGAATTAAAAATTAATCCAGTAGTGGAAAAAATGCATTTTACTGCTACACTGCTTGATAGAATGCATAAATATTCACTTGCTAGACATGCCAGATAAGGAAACTTTCTATGATTGTTTTTCTTAAACTCTTCAGTGTCTTTTTCTCCCTCTTCTGTTGATAGACAATACAATTATTGACTTCCCTGGCTAAACTTTGACGGCTATTTTGATCATAATTTAGAAGCGCATCTTTAATTTTTTGTAGTAGTATTTTCTTTGCAGTAAGATAGTTTTCTACAAAATAGTTATCATAAATCAACCATGCAAATAATCCAATACAAACATTTAATACTAAAATTTAAAAACTATATGCAATTAGCATAATCAGTATAAAAACTTATTTATAGTATTATAATTAAATATGACATACAACTTATTAAATTAGTTTTTTAACATTTATAATTTATATAATTTTTATTTTATTTATATTATACTTTATTTATTTTTAGCTTACCATCTTCCAATAGTTTATTGTCATTGTTATAAGTTACATTGCTAACTGCTGCATGTGAATTTAAACTTTCTGTAAAACTTGATTAAGTCTCTAATAGTATATTAACTGCTTCATTATTTGGAAAGGTAGATTTAACTGCTGGATCTAACAAGCATGATAATTTGGCTGTTTGTAACAGTTTTAGACACTGTTTTAGTTTTGAGATACAAGCCATTTTTAGCTATTTTTATAACATGTAAACATCAATATACACCTTGAGAAGCGATGCAATTTTATATTAATTTAACAAGTTCCCTCAATTGTAGTTCAAACTAATTAAGATCATAAATAGTGTACTGTTCCACCAGCTACATAGTTGGAGTTTTAAACTTATGTTGTTTCCATTTATACCTTGAGTTTTTTACAAATAAATCTTTTTCTTGGCATTTATCTTCACTATCAGAAATGTTACGATTGTCATTTGGGTTTGCTTGATTTGTTTGAATTAGGAATTATTCATTAAGGTTAACAAGTTTTTTTACTTCTGCAATTTTTCTTAATTTGTCATAAAGATCTACATCATTATTTATACACAAAAGTTCATTAATAAGAAAAGTTGATTTCAAACTCGAACATGTTACAATATTTTGACAAGAATTCGAACCGTCAGGTGATGATATAGGGTATATTTTTATTTATTTATTTTTGTGTGGCTTTTCATCATAAATCAGATATTTGTCATGTATTGATATATATCTCTCATATTGGTGATAAAATATTTTAGCATTATCAAGCAGGTATCTGTCATTTTAATATAGACTGATATCGTTCATAATGATGATACACGTTAAAGTAATTTAAGTAAGACAAGATTTTCATCCTTTTAAAAAACATTCATATTTTGCTGAGTTGAGTAATAGTAATCTGTATATAAATCATGAAGTTGTTAGTTTTTTAGCTAGTTTTTTGAAGTTGTTAGTTAACTAGTTTTTTTAGCTAGTTTATTTGGTTAACTAGTTTATTTAGTTTTATTAATTATTAGTTTTATTAAGTTTTTTTAGTTTTTTTTTTTAATCAAAAGAAGTATAATAATATGATAAATTTTATATGTAGATATTAGCAAGTTAATTTCAAACATTATATTGATAGTTTTATTAGACAATAATAATGTATGTTTAATTTCAAAATAAAATAATTTCATTATGTGTTTGCTGTGTCAGATTTATATATAAGGTGTACTTCCATTTTCTAAAAAGTATGAATATGTCCTATGTGCTGCTATTCATATTTAATTTTAAAATAATTGCTGTAATTTTTTGGCAAAATAGTTTACCTTCCTTTTTGTGTTGTACTTAATGTAACCAAAATTTATAACCAAGGTTTTTTGTTATATGTTTCAAATACTACAAATTATCATATTATATCAGATACTATCTGGTTAGTGATGCAAAATACTATCTGATATCTAGTGATATATAACTTCTGCTCTTAGTTTTTGGCAATCTTTTGGCAAACCCTAGTGGTCTACTTATATAATGTGTGATTCATTCATCTAATTAAGAAAATAAATGCTAGATATTGTTAGATTAAAATTCTTTGATTAGGCCTAAATAAAGAAGAATAACTAAAAATATGTTGAATTATTTTATAAATGTTTATAGCTGTTTAATCAAACAAAAAAATTTATGTCATTTTATGATTAAAGTTGTAACATTTTTTGTGGTGAGCTACCCTCATTTGTTATTAAATGTTTTTTTAAAGTGTAAAATATTTTTTTTTTGTTTTTTTGTTTTTTTGTTTTTTTTTGTTAATTTATTTGTCTCATACTATAAGTGATGTCTCGATGTTTTGATTTTCAAATGTTTTTTTTTTTTCTTTTTAGGTCTCTTCGATTAGAGTGTTGATAATGTGCAGAATAAATAACTGTTGCAATCAATTGTTTATTTTATACTTCCAATTGAAATGTTTCGTTGGAAAGTTGACTTTCTTTCCTTAACAGAAATAACATTACAGAGTTGGTTTTAATGCTGCGTGTAACGTAAATCTATAAAATTATAAATTTATTCGTTTAACAAGTTTTAAGCTTTTAAAAATTCGCATTTCTTTAAGTGAAAGTGGCGTATATGTTAAGTCAAATTTGTGAAGTATAAAAGTGTATGGGTAGTAGTTAAAACGCAAGCCGGTAGTAGGTAAAGTGCGAACTTCTTGGCGAGCCATGCACTTACGACATTTAATAAAACGTATGCTCATCAATCTTTCCGCGTCAGTCACCTACCAAAATCTCGACCTACTAAGTTGTTCTACACCATCTCTAAATGACTTGATTTTTACAACAAAGATACTTAACTAGCCTAAAAAGAATTTCCCCAAGTTATTTAAAGCAAATCGGAATATTTTAGAAGTTATGCTCGTTTAAAATTTAAAACTTTGAAACTTTTACTTACCATGCTCCCCTAGCAACGTCCCTAGTAACAAGGTTAATACTGATACATGCGTTGTTACCCTACTAGCTATTATTTAATAATTTAAAATTTTCCACATTAGATGTCAAACCATAGAATCATACTAAGAAATAATATTTTTATTTATTAATAATAATAAATCATAATATTAAAAATAATAATAAATCAATCAAAGTAAATTGACTTTTTTAATAAAATTGAAAAGTAAAGATGCTTACTGTAAGAAAAATTACAGAAAAAGTTGTGATCTATAGTTTTCCTATTTTCATATTCTTAAAGTATACATAAATATCTAAATAAATAAACTGAGCTAATTTTGACTTACTAATCTAAACAATTTTTTTGATTGAATGTTTAGGTACAACCAGAAAGTAAGAATTCTAATGTTTAAAACTGCAATATGCTTACTTAATAAACTCAATTTAAAAAAATTTAAATACTAAAAATAGGTATTTTCACTCAAAGCTAGTCAAAAAATAAGAGGTATTTTCACATATTAATGAACTAGCCAAATCATTTGATATAATCTTTATATCGGAGCATTGGCTTTTGAATATTAAACTATTTTTTCTAAAAAACATAAGCATTGCCGACAACCTTTTTTTCATGCGGCAGAAAAAAAAGGATATCGAAGACCTTTTAAAGGAAACGCATTCACTGTTAAAAAAGATGTTCTGTCTTCTCTACGCACAATTTATGAAGATGATAATATTCTCGCTATTAAAGGTAAAAATAAGTGTCAAAATCTAGTTTTTATCGGTATTTATCTTACATCATGCCAAAATAACGAGGAATTCCTTTCAAAGTTTCAAAGTACACCCAACAATTAAATCTAATTACATCAGTCATAAAAAACTACGATGACGTAAATGAATGCATTATTGCGGGAGAATTTCAATAATACCCCGAAACAATTTAAGATTCTAAGAATAATAATAAAACACGTAATAAATTCTACAAGCATCTAACTAGTTTCATTAAATCAAATAAGCTCTCCTTTCTCGATATAATCAGTGGCGCTGGTCCAACATACACCTATCAGCATAAAACTCTCTTTAACTCATCGTATATAGATCACATCGCAGCTCTAAAAGAGTCATCCATATTTTTTTAAATATCAAAGTTATTCCTCCTTCGCCTTTTAATTTTAGGGATCACTTATCAATTGCTACAAATATTGTTGTTACACACATAAATCTGTCAACCGTAATAAATAGTGTAATTTCAAAATATAACCATAGTCCAAATTATGCATGGGGTAACAAAAACTTCATCGACATATATAATCATAATCTTTGAATAGCTTTTGATAACTACACCTTCAACGAGGAAAAAATGGAACAAGAGTTGATGTAAACATGCAAAATGATCAAAAATGCTGCTTTATTAGCAGTTGCGCAGTGCTTTGAATAACGAAAAACCTGTATGAATTCAAAATTGTGGTGGACAACAGAACTTAAAAAATGAAAAGAACATCTTTCATTTAACTTTAAACAACAGCAAAAATCTAACTATAATAAATCACACGAATGCATAGCATACAAAAGATACATCCTTGCACGTAAAAACTTTCAAGAAGTGGTTAAAGCAGCCCATAACAAAAAAATCCATAAAAAAACGATAAATATTGAAAACCTACGAACTAAAAATCCTCAAAATTTTTGTGGCAATATTCGTAAAATCAAAACCAAAGCAAAAACTCGGTTATTTACGATTAAAAATTTGCAAAACATAAAAGATATTGTTAAAGAGTTCAAACAACATTTTCGATACACCACTCACTACAAATAACAACCATAATCTCTGAAAATTCCGCCTCTAAGTAATGAGCCTAATTCACTAATTATTACATCAGCTGATACTATAAACTGCGTATCACAACTAAATAATAATAAATCCCCAGATAGCTTTGGGGTAACTGCTGAACACCTTAAAAACTGTCATAATAACAATCTTTTTTTGTGGCTCTCTAAATTTTATAACAGCATTCTAACGAATGGAAAGATACCAAAAGATTTATCAACTTCAATAATTGTTCCACTTGTTAAGTCATAGAAAAAATATAATGATCCAGATAATTACCGTGGAATTAGTATTTTACCTATTCTTGCCAAACTTTTAGAATATCTAATTTTACATTTATGTTCTAGTATTAAAGATAGCCATTCCCATCAGTTTGGTTCTTAAAAAATTAGCTCTACGTTCCACGCAGAATTTTTATTGAGCGAAACCATTAAACACTACAATAACAATAACACGCCTCTCTATATATGTGTAGTCTAGATGAAAATAAAGCGTTTCATACTTCCAACTGGGATTTGCTATTTGAGAAGCTCTATTTTTTAAAAAAAACTTCCTTTATCTGTTGTATTTTTTTTTTTTTTTATTTATTTGAATTTTTATGCTATATTTTTCTATACAATGTACTTATATCCGAAGATATTGTTGCCTTAGCATAGGAACTGCCACAAATACTCATTAAGACTAATCCAAAAGAGCGTCCATTATTGACCAATATTTTTGCGTACCGAAGTACAACCACAAGCGCTGAGTTGGCGGTGGCAGGATATGAACTCGTATCTTACAACTGTCCGAAAACTGTCCGGTTTAAACTTTTTGTTTGATGCTCTAACCAATTGAGCTATCCAGCCACCAGAGATATCAATGTGATTGTACACGCAATCACATCGTTATATCGTTCTGGTACTGCAAATATATCCGATCAGGGAGTTACCTCAGATCAATTCAGTTTGTCACAAGGGGTGCGACAAGGGTCCATTTTATCTCCATATTTATATAGCATCTATACTGAAAATATATTAAATGAAATAGTCTCAGAATGTAAAGTAGTGTCGACGATAAATGGCATCTATACTGGTGTCATTGCATACGCAGATGATGTAATTTTTCATAAGTCCATTAATCTCTGGTCTGCAAGAACTGATTGACAGATTTCAAACATATGGAATATTAAACTTTATCTAGCTAAACACTGAGAAAACGGAGTTTCTCTGGGAAAAGTTCAATTTCCAACAACATTATTTAAATTAACAGAACTTATATACATCTCCAAAATAAATTAAAACATCTGGATTTCCTATGGGATAACAATACCAACAAAAACAAAATCGCAACACTTCAAAAAGCAAATCTAAATCAATGTGTAACGCAGTTTCAATCGGTTGCAATAGCTCTAATTAACAGTGGAATTCGTTTTTGTCAGCCGTAAACAATAGTCCATTTATACAATACCTTGACAGTGTCAAAGCTTATATATGGCCTTGAGCAATGCAACTATGACATTAGTTTTCTAAGAAACATAGACGCTGTTGGAAGAGCAGTTTTAAAATCATTTTTTTGTATTTCAAAGTATAGCAAAAATTACCTACATTCTTTTTTTAAAATAGAAGATATTTCAATTACTCTTCTTCGAAATAAAGTAAACCTATTAATTAGGCTCATGAAAAATCAAACTTGCTATTCGCTGATAATTAGTCAATTATTCTCCTCCATCGATGTTTTAAATTTTTCTCTTTGTTCTTTTAAGTTTTATTGGAACACTTCTTTTAATATTGATATAGTATCAGCTTGCAGTTCTTCTCGAGGTAGTGTGAATTTACTTTTTTTACCTTCTATCATGCATTGAAAGATTTTCAAGCCACGTCTAGTCGGTCTAGTTATTGGCATTAAAGACAAATGTTTGGAGAGCCAAGACTGGTCTTAATTTAATTTGTAACTGTTTTAATAAAAATTAATTTAACTGTAATTTTATTGCTGGGTGTTTAAGAGAAAATAATAATAATAATAATAACTTAGGTGTAAAACTGCAATATCCATGACATGCATATCCATATATAAACTCAATTTTGAATATTAAAACACATTAACTCTTTGAATTGTTTGTGTTTTTATGAATTGATAAATTTTTATACAAATTATTGAACTTCAAATATTCCTTTGTTTTTCTTTGGACTGTAAAACAAAACAAAATTAGGTATTATTTTTTAATAAATGCAAAATATTGTCATACACATATCATAGACATAAGCAAACTGTTGATTCGAAGTAATAACTAATAAAAGGAAGCAAGAAAATGTCTTTAGGATTCGAGGGCCATTTTTGCTTTTCATGGCTGGTTGCAAAGAAAACCCATTTTGCATCTATTCTAAAGTCTGATTTATGCTGACATAGGTTAAATATATTTTTGCAGTTTTTATATTGAGATGAATAGCCATCAGAAAAGTAAACCACGTTTACAATGCTGGGTATTTTTTTGCTTCAGATTATTGATTATTGATTTTTGTACCTCGTAAACCATTGGTACATCATGATTGTTATCATCTGATATAATGCAATATGAAGTGGAATGCAATACTTGATTTTCTTTATAGTACACAACCACTGAAGATTATTCCAATGGAAACCTTGTACTTCATCCTGTACAACAAAACTATAGTTTTCTGCAAAATCTCCT